AGTAGAGACTTGAAACTAAGATACAATTGCGTATCATCAGCAAAGCAATGCACACTAGGAAGATGTTTCTTTATGATAGCAAATAGCTTTGATGCATAAACTATGAATAATAAAGGTCCAAGGCAAGAGCCCTGTGGAACACCACAGTCCAATTCAAAATAATTGGACAGAGTACCATGTATAGAGACCCGCTGGCTTCTTTGAGAAAGATAGGAGTGGAACCATTTGAGAGCATTCCCACGTAAACCAACATCATCATGCAAACGATCGAGCAACACATCATGGGACACTGTGTCAAATGCTGCGCTAAGATCCAATAGAACCAATAACGTTACATGTTGGGAGTTCATCTTTAAAAGAATATCATTCATTACTCTCAGCAATGCAGTCTCAGTACTGTGGTATTTTCCATATGCAGACTGGAATAAGGGATAAATGCTATTTGCCAGTTCATGCAACTGATTGAAGACAGCTCTTTCAATAAGTTTTGACACATACTGAAGATTACTGACTGGCCTATAGTTCTTAAATACCAGATCAAGACCGGTCTTCTTTAATAACGGGTTAACCAGTGCACATTTCCAGTTTAATGCGAACGATTAATCTTTAACACTCAAAAAAGGTACGAAAAGCAGAAAAATTTTGGCAACTTTTCGGCAACTTTTTGGAAATTCAGCAACTTTTCGGCAACTTTTTGAAAAAAATCGCAACTTTTTGACAACTTTTAGACACTTTTATCGGCAACTTTTTTGGGATTCATCAGCAACTTGTAGCTAGGCCTACTGTGCAGGGCATTTGAACATGATTTTGGCCCGGGGGGCTGGAACCAATCTTCAAAAGTTAAAATTGCAGAGGGGAGGCGATGCTGAAGTTTTGTCGGAGACTCAGACATTTAGTCTGGTTGCGTAACTGTAATTGCTTAAAAAGGTCGCCGAATCGCAAAGTGATTGACGTAACATTAATTGACCCTTGTTGATGAGTGCTTAGCAACTACCAATCAAGATGTACAATTCAGTACTATAAAAATAGGTTTTTCTATGATTTCGTGAGAGAGTAGCTTTTACACACCCGATGTAAGGGTAAATAGGTGAGGAATAAATCTTGTATCTAAACTCAGTCGAGTCTACTGATTGAGTCCAGTCGATTGTCAGTCCGTATCCCTAGTGGACAGGGGAAGGTTCACAAAAGCTTTCAATTGATCGACGAATCATTTTTTCTTTTAGCATAATACTTTCAGTATCCTTCCACCTAACAATGTCATCTGTTTGATAATCACCGAGAAAAACTGTACCACAGTGTCTTCTTTCACTCACGATTTGTCTAATGATTTTTTATTAAAAATAGTTACCATAGGGGTTTTCAACGGGGTAGGGGTGCAATCCTCCTGTAGTTGTGTCTATGCTTTTCAGTGAAACACTCTTCCAAGGTAACATATTCTTTATTATATAATGAACAAGTTGTTTAAAAGTGTTATTCTCGTGGCCAAAAATACGCAAGAAGGGGACAATGAAATGTGTTTTTGTGATTAAAAATATTTCGACCTGGCGTGACAAATGCTTGAGTATGAATTTGTAGTGGTATCAGATTGCTTTCCGCCCTCGACGTCTTCGGCAAAGAACATTAGACCTGCCTTGTAAATGAGTGAATTGTCCTCTTTCAAGTCCACAATGAAGCTCAAGTTTACCCTGGAACTTTCTTAAGACTTATGGGTGTTCGAATACGCAAAGAAAAACAGACGCCCTCCTAGCTTACGGAATGTGTTACTGTAAACAATTTCGCCATGGGAAATGGATGAGAATTTAAAACGAGAGCAGCAATAAAAATCAATCTGCCGTGCTTAGTTATGCAAGGCTAGCTTACTGTATTGATTTCCTGATCAAACAAGATGCTAACTTCTAAAATGTGCTTGGAATTTCGGATTTGACCACGGGGTGCCTAATTCGATTATGTCGTGATGTAAATAACGATGTTGCGACTTTCACAAAGTTCTGCTTGGTTTTTCCGCGCGGAAATGAAAAGCCCCAAATTTATTTCTATATCCTCATAAACAACACCATTTCCACTTATCATGAGCTTAACCTGAACCGACTCTGAGTTATACCGCATGGTGACATTGATAATTGAAAATTTGCTACGAAATGCGATATTTGGATTTTGAAATATTGATGATTTTTAATAGCGTTCGGCGAACTCAAAATTAAATGAAATGGTCCCATTTTAAACTTAAGCCATACCTCAATCCCTCCTATATATACAAATTTGTCGAATCGATACGAGCTTGCTTTCTTTTTCGCTTTTCATCAGCAAAGTTCACTTGCCTCTACTCGGGGCACTGATTTCCGCCATTTTACGGCCACCAACGCTCGTTTCAGTTTTTGTGAATTTTCTAGGACGAATAAGCAAGTCTGGAAAAAAAAATACCTTACCACGATTCTAATTTGACTATAAGGTATTTTTGGGCAAAATACGAAGGTTTTAAATTTTTCGATCCTGTGCCAAAAACACCCACAGGCCACATTTTTCGATTTTCACTCAGGTATTCCCGTTAATGACCTTTAGACCCCAAAATCATACACGGTACGGTCGGGCTGCCTGCTGCTTAGCCAACGTAAAACATAAAGGAGCTATTTGTGACTGACAATCAAGTTTATCTGTTAGGGAAGGTACGTTTTTCA